CATATGTTTGCACGTATAGGAGGATTCGGAGGAACTTGACGGAGGAACAAGGGGGAGAAGAAGGGCGGAAATGGTGGGGGAAAGGGAGAGAGGCAAACCATGAGAGACTCTTGAATGCTGACAAAAACTGAGGACTGATGGATTTGGGGGGGAGGGGGGATGGGCATGGAGGAGGGCACTTGTGGGGATGAGCACTGAGTGTTATGTGGAAACTAATTTGACAATAAACTATTTGTAAAAACATAAATAAAAAAAAGAAAAAAAAAAGTCAGAAAGTCAACCGATTGAATCACCTAGGTGCCCCTCAGCTCAAGTTTTGATCTCAGAGTCGTGAGTTCAAGCCCTGGGTTGGGCTCCATGCTAGACATGGAGCCTCTTAAAAAAAAAAAAAGAAAAGAAAAAAAAAAGAAAAAACATACATGCACCCTTATGTTTATTGCAGCATAATTTATAGTAGCCAATATATAAAAACAACCTACATGTCCATCCACAGATATGAATGGCTAGGGAAGATGAGGTATACACACACACACAGGAATACTGCTCAGCCATTAAAAAAAATGAAATCTTGGGGCACCTAGGTAGTTCAGTCAGTCAGTTGAGCATCCGACTTCAGTCCAGGTCATGATCTCGATGTTTGTGAGTTTGAGCCCCGCATCGGGCAAGCTGCTGTCAGCACCGAGCCTGCTTTGGATCCTCTGTCTCCCTCTGTCTCTCTTTCTCTCTCTCTCTCTCTCTCTCTCAAAAATAGATAAAAAGAAAAAAGAAAAGGAAAAAGAAAAAAGAGAATGTAATCTTGCCATTTGGAACAACATGGACAGAGCCAGAGAACATAATGCTAAGTGAAATAAGTCAGAGAGAGACAAATACTGCCTGATTTCACTCATGTGGAATTTAAGAAAACAAATGAAGAAAGAAGAGAGAAACAACCAAAAACCAGACTCTTAAATACAGAGAACTGGTGGCTGCCACTGGGGAGGTGGGTGGGGGGGATGGATGAAACAGGTGAAGGGGATTAAAAGCACACTTATTGTGATGAGCATTGAGTAATGGATAGAATTGAATCACTATATTGCACACCTGAAACTAATAACACTGTTAATTATACTGGAATTTAAAAATAAAATAAATTTTTTATTTAGAAATTTTTTTAAAAAACTTTATTTATTTTGAGAGAGAGAGCAAGGGAGGGGCAGAGAGAGAGGGAGAGAATCCGAGACAGGCTCTGCTCTGTCAGCACAGAGCCCGATGTGAGACTCAACCCGTGAACTGGGAGATCATGACCTGAGCAGAGATCAAGAGTTGGACGCTTAACCGACTGAGCCACCTGGGCGCCCCAAAACAAAGATTTTTTTAAAGTGGAACCAGAAGTCAGGGCAGCTCAGCCATAGTATGTCAGGCAGTAAATGCTGAATTCCAAGCGACAGGAGTTGGAATGGGGCTGCATATATTCACTTGAGCAGCCGATTTACAGTCACGCAAAGGGCAGGGTGAGACAGAGAGGACTGAGATGGGTTTATCTTCTGTAACTAGAATTCACAAGTCAAAGGACTCCAGGCCACTCAAACCCTACCTTGACATCGTTTGTTCACTGATCCACAGGCCCAAGGAGGATTCCCTGCATGCGGATTTGGAGAGGGATTCCCCCACCCAGAGATTCCTGGAACTAAAGGGGGAGATTGGCTACCTTTCCTAGAAGTGGCAATCACAACGTACCCGTCTGCCTTGGCCAAGAGGGACCACGTTGGTCTGCTTGTCCAGTCTCCCCTCTTCTTGCTTCATATCAGGGCCTGGGCAGACTGGCCATGCCCAGGGGGAAGATGGCCCCTCACCATCTCCCCTCCCCGTTTTCCTGGGCCATGCATGGCCTCCATGGCCCACACTGTCCCACCCTCCAGTCATTTGTACAAGCTGTCATCCAAGGGGGTATGTAAAGATGAAAATGTGCAGGACCATAGTCCTGAACTGTTACCTTTGCTCCCCCAGGCCTGCCACCTTCCAGCATTTCCTATTATCCTTGGCTCAGCACAGCCAGACCAGTCTTGTTCTTTGCCTTAAGGACCTATCAGGAGAAAACACAGAGAAAGGAGCTGCTTCGGGCATGTGAGTTGTAAAGGCCTGGCCCCGGAGAGAAAACAGGATAACTCCAGGCGGGCCTTGTCTGAGTGCCTGATGGGCCTGGAGTTTTCCTGAGCTAGGGTAAAGCGAAGGTGCTCGAACACCTGCGCACACCCCAGCATTAGTGGAGAGCACAGGACCTGGAAGAAGCCCCAGATGGGGGCTAGAGTAAAGGTACACGTGTCTCTATTCAAAACCACCAAAATGTGGAAACAGCGCAAGTGTTCGAATGGATAAACAGAATGCAATACAATGATATCCACACGATGGAATATTATTCGGCCACAGAAAGGGATGAAATCCCGGCACAGGCAACCGCATCTTCGAAACGTTAGGCTGAGTGAAAGACGCCAAAGACCAAGTATCCCATGATTCCATCTAGATGAAATATGCAGAGGAGGCAAATCCACAGGGCCAGAAAGAGTAGTGGTTTCCTGGGAGGAGGGAAGGGGCCAGGGAGTGACTGCCCATGGGTATCGGTTTCCTTCTGCCGTGGTAAGGATGTTCTGGTTGCATAACATTGTAATGGTACTGAACGTTACTAAATTGTACCCTTTAAGATGATTAAAATAGTGACTTTTGTGTTATGCGTCTCTTACCACATACACATGCAGACACACTCAAACCCGTGTGCCTTTCCTGTCTGTGGCTACAAGGAACTCTCGCACCCCCTCATCCCCTCCCCCCAACACACGGGTTCCACAGATAATCTCCTGTACCTTCTCTGTTGGCCAACTCTTTCTGCCACCTGCCCTGCACCCTCACGCCCCATGTGCCATGCCCACAGTGGGCCAGGCCCAGAGGCCTCTCACCAGAACTGGGGCTACAGGGTGGTCAGCTGTGGGGGCTGACAATCGTCATGATTTTCTCACCTAAATCCTTCGCTTCTGCCTCCTCACCCCAACCCTCTACGCAGACACGTAAGGGGAGCTCCGGACAGTCTCCTGGAGACCCCTTCCGGGGCCCTGAGGCCCAGCGGTCAAAGACAATGCCTTGTTGAAAACATTAGCTATTCCCATGGCTTCAAGGCCCCAGTCAGCCTCTAAGGGGGCCTCCCGACCTCCAAATGGGGGCTCTTCGGACCCCATCGGATCCTGGGCCTGGCTCAGGGCGGTGCCACGGTGACAGGCCCTCCGAGGTCCTGAGCCTTCGTGTCCAGCTGGTGTGCCCAAAGCGGCTCATGGTCCCGCCGGGTCATAAGCACCCCGGGATCACCTACTAACCCCCCTCCCTGTTCCCAGACACCGGATTTCATGCCTTTGCAGCCTGACGAGTGGCAAACCCCGTGCTTGGGAGGACACCCCACCTCTCAGACCTCAGCAGACGGCCGACCTCCGCAGGGGTCCCGACCCTTTGCCCCCGGGGGCTCCTGGGTAAGGAAAACTCTTCTGTGCACCTGAAGGACCCCCCCCTCCCCTGAACTTCAGTGGGGAAGCCGGCCCGCTTCTGAGGCTCCTGACCCATCTTAGCGGGGTCCGCGCGAGCCCCTGCCGGCTTTACCTGGGTTCGGCCAGCGTCGACGGTCCGCGTGGAGAACTACCGCGCAGAGCACTGGAAGTCCCCAGGAGCGAGTCCAGCCGCGAGACGCCGCGGTTCGCCGACGAGCGAGCGCACGCGGCCCGTGCCTGGGCTGAGGATGTGGTGCCCTCTAGAGGCCGCGGAGCCGCACGGCCCAGGACCGGGTGGGCGCTAGAGGGCCCCTGCGCGCGCTAAAGGCTGGCAGGTGCGGGACCTAGGCGGGCAGAGAGGAGAGCGATTTGTTCAAGGTCACAGGGAGACACAGATCCGATCCTTCCAGAGTCGGCCCTTTGGTATTCAGCTGCCGCTTGTTAAAGAAAGAAAAAAAACCCTCGCACGCTCATACCAGCCCGGAGCTAATGAAGCTTAAGTGTCAGGGCACTTCATTTGCCAAGGACGCTCTTCGGGGCCCCAGAAATGTATTCACATGGGTGGGCGTGTGTGTTTGTACGATTTGCAGAAGTGAACCATTTGCGCTGTAATTGGTTAAGAGCGCTCTCTTCCCTCTCCGACTCTGTCACACTTCCCCTCTGGTCCTGGGGAGGCCAGGGGCCTTTGCGGGCTGGCTAAGGGGAAGTTGAGTTGAGGATACATTTAGTGTGCCTTTAATGAGAACTGTTTACATATGTAGTCATTACTGGCCATCCTGCGGTAGGAATGACTTCCGGGAATAATCCCACCGCCCACCTGGCATCATGACATGAAGCACTATAGCAGCTGGGGTGTGGGAGGAGGAGAAATGAGGTCTGAAATGTACAGAGCCGGAAGCTAGTCTGTAGGAAATTCTTCCAATCACCAAATACGTAAACTTGTGAGCAGATCAAAACAGATACTTTTTTCCCCCAAGAATATCATCAATAATGCAGTGAATATAACTGCAAACCCCCTATAAAATGAAATTATTTTTCAAGTATGCCCACATGTAACCAATAGAAACAATTCTGGCATGGAACAGTAAACTGTATCAGTTTTTTTTCTTCCAGATCATACCAAAAGCGAAAGCGATACATTTTGAATAGAGCTAATATATAGGCTCTTGGTTTAATAACCTACTCAGTGAAGTATATGAACACAATGGGAAAAATATTTAAATTTCTTGCTGATCTGACCAAAATACTGACTTTGACAAAGGTAACAAATCTCAGACCTCTACAAGACATTGAGGTCCAGTTGGCAGATGAGTATTGTCAACTCAAGAGTATTTAAGATTGCTCCCTGAACATGAATCTTTGATATGCGCTGAAAATGTACAGCTTTTATAAAAAAGAAACTCAATAGAGGTTTCCCCATATTTGACAGCAGTCCTCCAAATGCATACATTATGAATAACAAATTCTGAAGCTGAAAGTTTTCTAAACTATAAATAATGAAAACCAAGTTTCCATCAACTATGCCAGAAGAAAAACAGAATGAATTATCTTTCTATCCTCTTGCTAGAAAATGATATTACAAAATTGTTGTCATACAAAACGATGCTCAGTCTGCAACCAAAACTTGTAGGGGAGGAAAAAAGGCTTGTAGGGGTTTGTCAGGCAGTGAACGAAACTTTATGTCAGTTTTCTGAATTATGTGAGATTTGAGGTATTTCTCAGCCTTTAAAATGCCATGTGTTAGGCCCCTGGCTGTCTTGATCTCCGGGTTGTGAGTCTGAGCCCCACATTGGGTGTAGAGATTCCTTTTTTTTAATGTTTATTTATTTTTGAGAGAGAGAGGGATCTTGAGCAGGGGAAGAGGGCAGAGAATGAGAAAGAGAGAAAGAGAATCCCAAGCAGGCTCCATGCCACCAGCATGGAGCCCAACTCAGGGCTAGATCCCACCACCCGGGGATCATGACCTGAACGGAAATCAAGAGTCCGATGATCAACCAACTAAGCCACCCACATGCCCCTCTAGAGATTACTTTAAAAAAAAAAAAGTATGCTATGTATTGCATTTTCTTTCTGACTCTACATAACATTCTTCTCCTACCTAATTCTGTATCCATAATGTTCTGTTCTTTCTTCTCTTTAAGAGAGCCCCCAAATCATAAAAGCAAAAATACCACAAAACCTGAATCCACCCTCCCACTCATGTGCACACACACACAAGCACACTCATCTCATATACATGAGAACCAAGAAGAACCACAGGCTCGCTGAGTAAAAAGAGGCCTAAGACCCCTTTCCTAGACACATTTGTGTGCTTCAGAGTAGGAGTAGCTCTTTTTATCAGTAAAAAGGTGCTGGTCATCAGACTTCTACTCCAGAAAATACATAGAATCATAAAATGACCATAGATTTGTTAAAAGCTAGATCCAGTGAAAATTATTTTCACTAAGTAAGCTCATTTTACTAACAAAGCTAATTTTCCTGGGGCACCTGGCTGGCTCAGTTGATGGAGCATGTGACTCTTGATCTCGGGGTTGTGAGTTCGAACGCCATGTTGGATGTAGAGATTACTTAAACATAAAATCTTTTTTAAAGCTAATTTTCCTGGTGGTTTCCCCAATGCCTTCCATTCCTTTAGTGTCACCCCCAAAGGAATTGCAGAGGACAGCTTTGGGCCATTATTTCACCATTCCCCTTAGACATAAGGAGTGGTTTTTCTTCCTCGTTAGCCTGTTGGATATTTTAAGATTGTTATCATCTGTTATGCAAAAAAGAAAAAAAGAAAAAAGAATGAAAGAAAAACCAAACTTAGGTTTTGTCTTAATATTTCATGAGCCAAACTTCTTTTCTTTTGTTCTATTGACATTTGTAGAAAGAGGTTCTTTTAAGTCTGTTGCTCAGAGGTAAGCAGCCACAACCTGCAGACAGGTACCTCGTCCATTCGAATGTGCAATAATATCCTCCTCGGTAGGAGCTTCTAGTCCCATGATGGTTTTTTCCTGTCAGGCTGTACTAGAAGAAGAAACACAAGAGGCATAAGGGTATGCCAGATGGTGAAAAATAGGTTTACGGCACCAAAATAGTGGTTTTTTTTTTTTTTTTTTTATTAAAAACTAGGCTAGTATTGAATGCCAGAAGGTGTGAAACCCAGCTCTGAGTAAGAATCTCCACATTTAGCATTGATCTTGGCCCATCTGAACCTCCCACCAGGGGAAGCAGAGTGGGCCCACCAGCCTGCCTGGGGCCATTGTTGCCAGGCCACCCGCACAGCATCCTGGAAGCCCAAGGGAGAGCAGGTGGGCCTACTTCTTGGGAGGGCCAGCTTAGCTCCCCAATCCCCCCTCCTATGCCCATGCCCACTACCATCACACTGGAGGTTCTTGGCCAGATGCTCTGACTCACCCACGTCTCTTTCATATTGGATTCCGAAATCCACGAACCCAGAGGCTGGAAACTTGACCTCCAAGAAGTTTTAGGTTTCTGCAGCATCAATGAAGGTAACAGCCACCTCCAAAAGTGTTCCCAAAACCCTTACCGGGCAGTGTCCCTCAAACACTCCAACTTAAGGGAAACCAGCATCAGAGAGGGTCAGGCTCCTCACCTGGAAAGTCCTTATTTACCTCCATCACCATACTCTGAATCGGTTAGCTTTTGCTGCAAAACAGTCCACCACCAAGCTTAGTGCCTTATGACACTTGATTCTGTGGCCTGGCAAGCCACTGATGCATGTGGCTCACTCCCGCATGTACAATACCCACTGCCAGGGTGGCTGGGGACAGTCTGGTCTGCGATGGCCTTAGCTGGTCAGATCGTCTTTCTCCCACACGGAGAGCAAGCAGAAACAGCAAAGAGGCTCAAGGCTTCTTGAGAGGCCTGAACCAGGCATGACGTTTGGTACTCAGATTGGTCAGAGCAAGTCCCAAGAACAGACCAGATTCAAGGGCTACACCCTCTTGATGGGAGGAGCTGCTCTGCATTGAAAAGGGGTACAGGTACAGGGAGCATAATAATTGTGGCCGTATGCTTTCTTTAAAACCTTTGTATCATGGGGCACCTGGCTGACTCAGTTGGTAGAACATGCAACCCTTTTTGCTTCTTAAGTTCATTTATTTATTTTGAGAAGGGAAGGGAGGGGCAGAGAGAGAGAGAGAGAGAGAGAGAGAGAGAGAGAGGAGAGAATCCCAAGCAGGCTCTGTGCTATTAGCTTGGAGCCCAGCCAGGGGCTCAAACTCATGATCCATGAGATCATGACCTGAGCTGAAATGAAGCATTGGACGCTTAACCAACTGAGCCACCCAGGCACCCTGGGCATGAAACTCTTGATCTCAAGGTTGTGAGTTTGAGCCCCACACTGGGTGTAGAGCTTACGTAGAAAAAACTTTTTTTGTATTGTGGTAAAATATGCATAACATCAAAATTACTCTTCTATCCATTTTTAGGTATACATTCATTGCCATGAAATACACTCACATTGTTGTGCAGCCATCACTATCATCCATTTCCAGAACTTTTTAAAAATAGATTTTAAAACATGCTACCTTTCATTCATTTAGCACTTTTACAGTTAGTACAGGACCATTTCTTTTCACTGCCTCAAAAAATCCTCTGTGATCTGCCTATTCCTCCCTCCCTCTAACCCAACCCCGACAACCACTGATCTTTTTACGGTCTCCATAATTTTGCCTTTGCCAGAACATCAGATGGTTGGAACCATATAGTAGGTAGCCCTTTCCGATTGGCTCCTTTCACTTAGTGGCAAGCATTCATATTTCCTCCATGTCTTTTCATGGCTTGACAGCTCATTTCTTTTTAGTGCTGAATCATAGTTTACTGTGTGGATGTACCACTGTTTCTCCACTCACCTACTGAAAACATCTTGGTGGCTTCCAAGTCTTGGCAATTATGAATAAGCTGCTATAAACATCTGTGTTCAGGTTTTTGTGTAGACATAAGTTTTCAACTCCTTTGTGTAAATACCAAGGAACATGTTTGCTGGATTATATGATAAGCCTATGTTTAGTGGGAGTTAAGCTGTTGTTGTTTTTCTTGACTTTCTTTTTTAAGTAAGCTCCATGCCCAATATGGGGCTTGAACTCACAACCCTGAGATTAAGAGTTGCATGCTCTACTGAGCCAGCTGGGTGCCCCTCATGTTTTTTTAAGGTAATCTC